TCATTTAATTATCGAAGGTTTACTTTGACCGAAACTGATTTTCATTGGTTCCTAATGATTTCTCGAGTTTTTAATGACTGCCAGCGATTTTCAATGCTTTTGTCACAGCTTTCAGTCATTCATCGCACGCTGAACGCGTTATTAGTAATTTCTAAGGATTTTCAGCACGGAAACCAGTTTGTCCTCCCTTCAATAGTATACATGATAGAAACAAATAAAAGATCAAGAGGAAAACGTCGGATTTTCTGGATTGCCAATCCATGAAAAATAAAAAAAATTCAGAAAATCTCAAAAAATATTCCGAAATCCACCAGCAATGTCCTCTTGTAAATGAAGGCATTTTGAGCTGAAATTTTTGTGATATGTAGGCCTCGGGGTCCTTAAAATATCTCACAAGTTTCAGTGCAACCGGATGTTCCCCTCATAAGATAATCAATTTTCAAGAAAACCGGATTTTCTGACCGTGCTGTGAACTATGAGTGTTCCTTGCAATTGTGTTGTCTTCAGAAGAAAACATCCGTTTGCGCTGAAACTTTTAGGATATTCTAAGGATCACGAGACCTACATGTAGCAAAAATTTCAGTTCGAAGTTCCTTCATTTATAAGAGGGCATTGCTGTCGAATTTTTGGATTTTTAAAATCCGAAAATCCAAAGTCTGCTGTTTTCCTCTTGATTTGGTGCTACATAGAAAAGTACAGAAAAGCGACAAAAACAATTTTTCGGATCATAGTACATATCTCATGGATCCACCCATGAGATATTCATTTGAAATGACGACTATATCTACAGTTTTCCTCTTGAATTTCATGTGCGAATCGAATAAAGTTTTTGTTTTAATATTGAAAAGCCTCCTACTGATTCCGAACTAAGAAAAGAAAAAAAACATGACTGTCTTACTGTGGGTGCTATTTAAAAAATCATTCGGTCCCATAGTGCCCATCTTGGTATGAATACATTGATTACTTTCAACATGCCAAATTATACCTGGATTACCCATAAGGACAAAAAGTGAACTATTGCTTCGACAATCTTCCGCTACATCTTCTGCTGAGACAGCACCAAATACGATATATTCTAAACATGTAATCATATGTATGTTGTCTGAATTGTATGACGAGCAGGCGGCTACTTACTGAACGCATTATTCCATATTTCAACTTCTAGGGAAGTCTTTGGATTTTGCGGTGGTGTTATAGCTGTGGCGCACGTTGTGTTTTGCAAATGCGCACCCTTCGCCCATCGAAATTTGTGAATTTCCTTGTCGCCGGTGTCTTTGAATGGCATTAAATCCACAGCAATAGTAAACATAATAAGTAAGAGAAATATACAATTTAATAAGCCCATCGAATTTCTGAAAGACAGAAAAGGCATAGTACTTGAATATTCGATTTATTGATGCCAATAATAACACATTATCTATCCGCTGATACCTACTATCCGTTTCAAAATAGAATGCATCTGACTGCAAATTGAATAACTTTTGACAGGAACAAGATAGAGAGCTGCGGTTTTCACTATTCGAAAGAGAAATAATGGGCCTACAAATCTATATCAAAATTTAATTGCTTAATAACTGACCAATCAGGTGAGTCTTTTGAAAACATTTTGTTAGCATTATTCTGGAAATATTTTCCGTCCAGTTTTTGTTTTAACATGGCTAATCGATAGAAAAAATTTTTCTCTTTCGATCTACGCAAGGCTAAGATCTCTAGCTTGTTTCTTTCAAAAGTTATAA